CCCTGTGCCAAACTCGACATAACCACCTCCGAGCAAACTAAGCAGCCGCCATTTAATTTGGCAAACAAAAGTTTGTCTGCATAACACCGACCTAAACCGCATGTCCGTTGTTGTTGTTGTAGCAACATACAAGTTCCCCAAAGAGTTTTTGGGGAGTGTTGCTAGAGTGACAGTCATTGGCCAAATATAAATCTAGGTCGTTCCGGTTACGTATACCCGACTGTCGTGGGGCCGCATGTCAGTCAAAAGCATCCCTGTGACGCAGAGAAGAATTTGTATCAGGCCGGGCCTTAATACCATGTTCTGACCAACAACGAAAACACCTTGAAAACGAGTTTTGGGATTGTGGGCTAAAGGCTGTTCACACCGATTGTTGGTGTTTTCGTTGACATTTCTTACATCCTTTTGGCCTTATTCATAAAAAATAAAGTAGGTTTAAAGAGCTTTATAAAGTTATGTTTTCATACATTTTTCAGTTTATAAACGTTTTTTAAAGCTACTTTCATTTTTTATGAATAAGGCCATTTGTTTACAGTTTTGCTACACAAAAACAAAACCAAAATACTTTTCCTTCAAATTCTTTTCATTAAGAACCTTTTACGTCCAAGCTTATTTTATTTTGGCCAGCCAATTAATAACAAATCCGAATCCGTTTGAGGATCCGAAATCATCATCCTAGTTCGCAACGATAGTTCACGCTGTTGTGCGCTTATCTTTATAATTGTATTTTCAAAACATCACTAATAAAATCTGGCAACTCTTTAGATTCGAAATCCGAAACTACAATTTTGACATTTCGGATAGCGACTCATCGAATTTGTTGGTGGTTTTGTCTATAGAGGTGTGGAAATTCTTATTGGCACGAGATCTAGAGACATTTGTTAAGATATTCCCTTTTTTAACGATTATTTCTAAATACTAAACAAATCCAATAATGTCAGCGAGTAGTAGCAATGATAAAACCGAACAAATTGATTTGGCAAAACTGAGTTTAGAGCAATTGATGCAAATCAGACAGGAAATGGAAAAGGTACATCCGTCACTGCAAAAATGTATATACAACTGTTCACAAAAACATTTATACTTTTACAGGAGGTTAACAGCATTCAAGAGTCACTCCAAACCCTTTACAGTTGTAAAGCCAAATATGCCAGTTCAAAAGAAGCGCTGGAATCTTTTCAACCTGAATGGCAAGATCGCCAAGTACTGGTGCCATTAACAAGTAGCATGTACGTACCAGGTCGCATAAAGGATCTCGACAACTTCGTAATTGATGTTGGCACCGGCTATTATGTAGAAAAGGTTGTAGTTCAATTCTAATGTCTTCTGCTAATAAAGTATTTAACGTTTTTCTATGATCTACGTTTAACACAGAATTTGGAAGGTTCTAAGGACTATTTTATGCGGCGTGTGGATTATGTGCAGGAACAAATAGAGAAAATTGAAAAAATTCAAATACAAAAAAGTAGATTCCTGAATGCTGTTGCTGGCGTGATGGAGATGAAACAACTTGCACTGGCAAAGCAGATGCAACAGCAACAAAGCGCATAAGAAAGACATACAATACAAATAGTATCTACATAGAAGAAAAATCATTTCTTTCATCTACTAGAAACTAAGTGGATTTCAGATAAAACTTAAATATATCGCACGAAAGGATAGAAGTTTCATTTCGAAAACTTAGCCTTAATCGGTAAAAAGATTCAAAATAAACCGAAAAGGAAATTCCAACACCAATCACATATAAATTGTTATTGTTACCTATATTGTACATGCTTTAAATATTTTTGTTAAATGGGGGGAATTAATTACATATGCAAAAATCTAATATTGTATATATTTGCACCACAATACTAGCGAACAGCTAACTATTTTTTCTTAGCCTCTTCCAACGCTGCGCTGAGGACCTTAATTTTTTGTTCATAAACCTCCTTCAAGTCCTAAAAATTTAACTATTAATAGATTAAATATGATAGAATGACAATCCGCTGACCTTAAAAATTTTCGACTGTATATCGTATTCGGCACGTAGTTTTTCATATACTCCCTTCGAAATATCCAATTTTTTTTCTGTTAAGATACATTTATCCTTCTCTGCCTTAATCCACTGCTGTGATTTTTCCAATCGCACTTGCATGTGATCACATTCGGCGGTCTTTAAATTCAGCATATCTTTAGTTACCTGTACTACATCCTTCATTGCCTCCACCTGTGTTTTTAGCACTTCAATTTGTTGTTCTTGCTGTTTGCATACTTTGGTCTTTTCAAAGAGCAAAGTTTTAGCTTTCAACAGTAATTCCTCCTGTTCTTGTCGCGATTTGGGTGCGTCCACACCTCCCAACATAACCGACTGTTTTAATGATTGTTCTAATTGCGTGTTCCTCCGTTTTAGTTGTTCATTTTCACTTAAGCTTTGCTGAGAAAATTAAAAATTTATAAAATCCTAAAACGTATAACAAATGTGTGCTTTTTAACCTCCAATTCCCTACGAATTGCAGATATTCTCTTGCGTGACTCCTCTATCAATGCCTGTTTTTCACTCTCTAATGTGAAAACTATATCCAAGAGCTCATTACTTTGTTGTTCCTGCACATCTTGTTCCTGTTCTTGCTGTGGAGCTACCTGTCCATTATCTGAATTATTGTTGACATCCTCAACTGGAACTGCGGAGTTTTCGGACATGTTTATATTTTAATTAATTTTCTCCCAATTTCCGTAGGTGTTAGCTTCTATTTAAACAATCTACTATTTTTCTCAATACTTGTCTTCTTCTTTCTATATTTATAGATACCTCACTGCATGTTCTATTTATAGGCAGTACGCAGAGTGCGCGCGTCGCCGAATAAACACATGCCACCAGTAGCTCTAATATGTTTACGCACATATAATTCAAAAGAATAATTTAAATCTCACCCTATCAAATTTTATTTCATCGGGATTTCAGTAATATTCATATAATAAACAGTGTTTAATTTATGTCTCTGAAGTTCAATATTTATTCAAATATATTATCGTAAATAAGAATGAACAGAGTAAGTGTTGTTAATGTGTGATACGCGGTTTCATAGCGACATTAGTAACTGCCGATCCAGGACTTAAACCTATCGTTAAAGTGTAAATTTAATTGTAAATGTGTGCAATAAGTATATATAATCAATGCAAGTTAATCAAATGCGATGGCCTTAACCATCTAATTCCCCGGCGGCGCAGGCGTCAGCGTAGTTTTTGCCACCCTTTTCCTCTGGATTCAATTTTATCATATCATCAATACGCAAGATTGTAATAGCAGCTTCGGTAGCAAATTTAAGCGATTTTATTTTTGACATAGCGGGTTCCAACACCCCAGCCTTCTTGTTATCTCTTACAACACCTTCGATCAAACCTAGACCAGTCCACTTAAGCTGTACATGTTCTGTTTTTGTCTGGCTAGAATTGTGGTAGGCACGCAATTTCGCCACCAAATCGGTAGCGTCTTTAGCGGCGTTGACCGCCAAAGTTTTCGGAATGACAAGTAAAGATTTGGCGAATTCGGCAATTGCCAATTGTTCGCGGGAGCTCTGCAATAGGATAATGACTATAGATTTTTTTTTGTTATCTTAGACCTTACTTACCAAAGAAGTGGCGAAATTTTCCAAATAAATAGAAAGTGCAGCTTCAACACAACCCCCTCCGGCTACGACCTTCTTACTTTCCAATACACGCTTAACAACGCACAGTGCGTCATGTATAGAACGTTCCATTTCGTCACAATAGAAATCATTTGGCCCACGCAAAATAATGGAAGCAGCAGCTCTATGAACGTAATGTTTGTATTTAACGCAAGATATTGGAGAAAAACGTATCTATATTATATACCTAGCTTTGGTGCCCTTTATTATTATTAGTTCATCGTCGCAAATACGCTCTTGGGCAACTTCAGCAGCTTCTCCCACCATCGATGGTTCAAAGCTTTCTTCCCCTTCCATATTCGTGAGTGAAGTGAGAAAAGCGGCTCCAGTAGCTTTTGCAATAATTTTCAAGTCACCCTTCTTAACGCGTCGCACAGCCATAGCGCCGGCTTCTACGAAATACTTCATGCAAAGATCGTCGATACCACCAGAACAGAACACAACATTCACCCCAGTCGACAATATCTTATTAATACGTTCCTTGGTAATATCCATTTCACGGGCCCGAATGCCTTCCAATTTGTCAGGATCGTTAATAAGCACTTGAACTCCCATTTTCATTTTAGTTTTTTGCAATGAAAAGTCGAGGCAAGCGATTTTTGCGTTGATAATTTTTTTCGGCATTTGCTGCGAAGCAATAGTGCAGTTGAGAGCATAACCAGGTATTAAAACCGATTCTCGTGCTGATTTGCCGTGCGCTTTTAGCACATTCACTGCTTTTATGGAATACAAAGGATTGCCTTTTGGATCCGTGATCTGGCGTAACACGTAAAATTAACTATTGTACGAAATTATTTTCGAGATATGTACTACCTTTACGGCCTGTGCTGCATCCACCACCATTGTTGAGAACAGATCCGCATCAGCACCAATAATCTTTGAACTCATTGATGTTTTTGCGATGTTAATAAGGGAATCTCGTCCCAATTCATCAACAGGTGCTGTCAAATGCTCTGAAATGTATTTGCAGGCTTCTTTGCATGCCAAACGGAATCCAGCAATAATTGAAGTAGGATGAATTTTCTGTTTTACCAACTCATCGGCATTCTAAAAAATATCAATGCCGCTATATTTCTAAAGTAAGAAATATTACAATTAAAAAAGAAAAATACCTTTAGTAGCTCTGCAGCCAATATAACCACGGAGGTAGTACCATCACCAACTTCGTCATCTTGCAGTTGCGCTAGTTCAACAAGCACCCTTAAAAAATTAATCATGTATATATGTCCTCAAAAGTTTTCCTTTCGAATCAACTTACTTGGCTGCAGGATGTTCAACCTCCAAAAGTTTAAGTATTGTTGCTCCATCGTTTGTGACAGTGACATCACCAATATCGTCTACCAGCATTTTATCCAGACCAACTGGACCCAAAGAGCTTTTGACTATATTTGCAATTGAGCTGGCAGCCATAACTGAAATTGAACGAACGATTACCATGTTATATACCATGCCTTACAGGATGTGCTATCTAAAGCCGAACGTAACCTCACTTTTTTTTAATTTACATACGTTTTGCTAGCATGTGAAAGGTATAATGAAAGTACTTTATGCAGATTTTAGCATATTTAAGACTGAACTTCTTCAGGAAACCCTATAAATACCCGAAAAGCCTCAACATATCACATGTTTTCTTCACGCTTTCCCGGCTATGCAATGGCAGATGTTACTAACACTTGGTATTTCTTACCATTCTGGGTACGCACGGAAGCACCAAATTGTCTAGTGCCCGCAATGGACAGAGGGCTAGCAATTGTAGACATTTTTTTATGATTCCGTAAGGACTTTTGTATCAAGATCAACAATTTATAAAGATGCGGACGATAAAACTATATGCGGCTGACTCACTGTGCCGCTGCTGTGAAAAATGCACGCGTTTTCGAAATTCGAAATGTCAATTTGTAATTAGTACTCGGTACGGCAGCACGATGTATTCTAGCGTTCCAAGACCGATAGGGCCCTGTCACACGGTCAATAATTATCACGATATTTGAATCGCGATCCATATTGATGGATTGATGGATCGCGCACGAATGCTACATGTTCGATATTTATCGCGTCAGTATTTGCATAATTTTTGTGCTGAAAGCTTATTATGACGCCAGAAAATATTTTGAAAGTGCTACACGTTCAATATTTATTGACGGTGTTGCGATCCGCGATCCAGATTTCAAAATTTTTAGAATATTTGCGATATGGATCACGATCCACCAATACTGCATGCTACACCGTCAGTGAATATCGCGATACTTGGATCACGTTAATAAATACTGACCGTGTGACAGAGCCCATTAAAGCGTGTCATACTTGGCAATATTTCCAAAATTTCCAACAAATTCGCTGTCAAATTGAGAAAGAAAAATTCTATTTCAATGGTTAATAGCATGATCCAACTACACAAGATCTGACAAAATGGAGCAAAAGAAAAAATTAATTTTCTGGCTGACGTTTGTAATTTCGGCGCTTTGTTATTTTCTGTGAAAAGTAAACAAAGAATATGAAGACGAAGCATAAAGAAAAAATGCAAGCAATGTTGTGCACATGTTTTTGCCAACCGATTTATTATTTATGTACGTATTTTTGCATTCAATCACCGCGCACTCCCATTTTAATTACATTTGCACAAAAAATCACTTAAAAATCACTGAAATAAACCACCGACAAAATACACATAAAGAAAGAAGCAAAACAGAATTAGAAAACTTCAAAATTACGAACGTCACACGCTAGCAATCTGCAATTCGCCTTTCAGAAATATAAAAAAAAAACTTTTCAAAAGACACTTTACATGCAAGGTGTGAATGCTTATGCAACTGCTTTCTGAAATTTCTTAATTTCACAACCTTTTAGAAATATATTGCATGATGCTCTGTAGAATACAAGATTGCGCTGATTGATGTGAAATTTGGGAGAGTAATTCGGCTTTCCCACTTCACCCCAATTACCCTTCGAAACACGAAATTCGCCACACAAAATTTTAAGAGCGAATTACACCATGACCGAACCGACATCGAAAGCATGTTTTCGTTGCTATAACTACTACTTGAAAACTCACGTTCCATCATCCCAATCGGTGT